GAGATGTTAATTGTAAGTCTTTGTCGTCAATAATGTAAAAGTGAGTTAACATTTCAAATACAATTTCAATGGAAAAAACACTAAACAAATGAGCGATTATTTGACAATCAAATCAATTTTATGAGAGTGTAATCGACAACCAATTATTGTGTGACAAATTGCCAATACATTTACGCACCAGTGGTTACGTATGTAATATACTGTACAGTAATGTATAGGAAATTTGCCATAAATTTGTTTAAATGTAACGTTAATTAATTAAAAACAACTTTTGAACATCTGTTGTCTCTTATGTTTTTTCATATAGAATTTGTTCCTCTTTTGTGAGCAAATTGTGTTGAATTTGTTATAACTCTTCGGTATTTTCGCTATTATTTTACAATATTTTTTTCAATTTATAACAGAATTTTTTGAGTTACGAATAAAATTAATAATGAAATAAAATGTTTGAATTAAATAAACTCATAAGAAATGTATAAAATATATCACCAATTGATGGCAATGTCATAACAATTGAATTGTTTGCCTTTTAAAGACAGTCGTCTTATAAAAGGCTGGAATTATCATTAAAATTGCAAAATCTTCCCAAATATTCATAACTTTTTTACGTATAAATAATTTATAAAACAATCGCTTCTTTTGTATAATTGGTTAACAAATGAATAAAACAATAAAAACATAAAAAGAGTGTAATAGTAATGAACGTAAATGTGATTAATTCCTAAAGTAATTAAATAACTGACAAAATCACACAAAGAAAACAAGTATTTTCTTATCATTCATATCATAAGACACCTGAATGTCAGCTGAAAATTAAGTGATTTTATCAATAAATTGAAAAATAATTATAGAATTGTATCTAATCTTAAGGTTAGATTCAGTTATCGTCAGTCAGACACTGGAGTCTCCATACAAATCAATTACTGTTCAATTCAATGCTTGACTTTAAATTAAGGCTAAATACACACTAAATAGGACTCAATTATAAAGAAAATTATCAATAAATAGATTTAAAAGAGAAAATAAACTAAACATAAGGATAGATAAGAAGGAGAGTCCGGGAGCCGTATTGCGAATGATTATAATTAAAACAGATAATTGATAACAAGGAGTCCCTAACCAGCGCTGTCTACCCAACAGCCGGCACTAACAGGTGGGCTATAGTTAAGGCAAATCAAGCAAATCGTGTTCGTCATAGAGCTTATGAGTGGCGGCAAAGACCTCGTCGGCCACGAGTGCCAACCGATTCATACTATCGGAAACGTAGGCGCGATCGTCGGTGACGGGCACCCGACCCGCGTACGCGCGCTCTACCAGTTGGTGCCTATACGGCAACGTATACATCGCCACCGAAGCACTCTTCCGTATATACCACGGATGGTATTTGGCCAGAGTTTTCTTATAGCAATCGCGGGCCACGTCGGCGGTGCCCTTGTGGTCGTCCAGACGACTCACTTCCAGCATGAAGTGCGAGACAAACTCCAGGGCTCTGTGCAGTCGGAGTAGAGTGCGGGCGCCGGACGGCCTCTTTGACAGATCCACGCGTAACAAACTGTTTTGCTTCTCGTACTCAATCATCTTCTGGAGTGTCCCGTAATGCGGACCGCAGTCGCACTCTTTCGTGTACTTCTCCAGGATCTGGATCTTCTCCTTCACGTCTTTGGCCACGAATATGAATACAGCGCCCAA